TCCGATGGACCACGGATCAGATATTAAACTGATCAGAACAGATACTACACTTGATCTTAGCCAAACGGGGGGAAGCGTTATGTGTGGGTACGGTAACCTTTTTTTTTTTTGACAAGGGAGGGTGGAGCCGTTTTCCAGCAGGTGAAGGCTGCCCTCCAGTAGAACTGAGCTCTGATAGAAAAAAAGAGAGAAAGGAAAAAAATAACTTGTGGTGTGGCTCTTCTTCCACCCTTTGTTATTAAAAAAAAAAAGTTAAAAAAACATGTCTGATTCAAGCATGCATACGAGACATACGCACACAGGGTCGTTTCCGACTGAATCTGGCTGCAATTGCAGGGAGATTCGTCCCAACAAATTGGCTGGGCCCATTCTTTACAGCCTACATCCTGTCTGATCTCTCTAATCAGATGGGAGCAGCCCACCAATTCAAGCATGCATACAAGCCACACACAGACGGGCACATTTCCAACTGAATTTGGCTGCAATTGCAGCAAGATTCATTCCAACAAATCGTAGTGTGAATATGGCCCAACTGTTCTAGTAGGATTCCCCACCGTCGACCTTCCCATTTGATCCGTAGTCACACAGGAGCACCCGCCCAAGTCGAGCGTGATCAGATTTCGTTCTTCTTCTCATCATTAGGCAAACAACAAGCAACCAAAACTGAGGCCCGTGCTCCAGTACCAAGCATAACAGTGAAGGGACGTTTTAGAGGTCCGATTCACTACAGTTGGACCGATCAAACCTTTTGTCGTTGGTGGTTGCCAAGAGGCTCTTTTTCTAAGACAATCTCTCTCTTAGGGCCTCTCTTCACTAGTCGACATTCAACATGTACACGGACTGATCCGTAGACCAGATACAGTACTTATCAATTGACTACCGAAGAGAGGCCCTAAGTCTTGGCGACCAAAGGAGACTCCCCTCCCATTACTAGCGGTGTCAATGTTGACTACCGAAGAGAGGCCCTAAGTCTTGGCGACCAAAGGCGACTCCCCTCCCATCACTAGTGGCAAGCGAACTGGATAAAGCCCAGACTGAAAATTCAGGGGCTTAACTAACGGTTCCGTAAATTATTGTCTGCAGAGGCGACCTCGGCAGGGGGGCCATGAATTTTTCAGTGGGCCCTTGTGCAGGTTCCCATAATGGGACAGCAAACAGGATGACAGTGCACGATAGTGAAACGGTTTTCACCTTTTAGCAGTAGCGGATGCAGTACCCAGGGTTCGATCCCTAGACCTCACCCTACCCATGTACAGTATCTGTGTAGACCCCGAGAATTGAACCTGTGACCTGTGTATTCGTAGGCAGTTGGTAGACCTGTCGTAGGTCCATAGACAGCAGGGGTTCGATCTGTAGGTCTATAGCGTAGGAGTCTTAGCGAGTTCTGGAAGCTTAGCTGTAGACCTTCTAGAAGATAGGCAAGTGGGCAAGTGGTCAAGTGGCGAGGCAAGTGGTGGACTAAACCGCAGTGCAACAGCAGTACAACGTTGGTAGGATGGCGGTGAGACCACAGTCAGTCAGCGGAAGGTCCAGTCAGTCCCAGTCCGGTCCAGCAAGTACCACAGGGGGACTGAGAGCACCAAGGGCCGATGGCAAAGGACAGACCAACGAGTT